CTTACCAAAGGTAGGTTCCTACCTTCCCACAGAGGCTGGGAGACAAGTCTTTATAAGCCAAAGTTGAGGCATAGTCAAGAAAGGATGTAAATAAACCTGGCTAGCGTTTCATCCAGGAGAAAATCTTTTGTCAGGATGCCTGGATGGCTCATTCGGTTAAGCGTCCGACCAGCTTAGGTCATGATCTCACAATTTGTGAGTTCGAACTCCGTGTCAGGCTCCGTGCTGACAGCTCAGAGACTGGAGCCTGCTTCGGATTCTGTGTCTCCCTCTCTCTCTGCCCCTCCCCCACTTGCACTCTGTTTCTCTCTCTCTCTATCTCTCTCTCTCTCAAAAATAAACATTAAAAAAATTTTGTCAATACCCTAAAGTGACTTCAAATCACAAAACCATATCCCATTAAATGAAACTAATTATGTAACTATTCCTGATTTAGCTTATTCTTAGTTATATCTCAAAGTGCCCCTAGCCACTCTAATGTTGCCTAACACAAAATGAAGTGTAATGGAGGGAAATTGGTGTAAAGACAGAAGTCTTCACTGTTTGTGACTTAAATATATTTACTTTTGCAAATAATACAAAAAACATATCCATGTGAACATTAAATTTGGAGGGGTATTCTTTGGAGTAATAGAATCAAAGTATCTTTCTTCTTTGTTTTTTTATGTTTGTTTATTTTTGAGAGAGATAGTGTAGGATGGGGAGGGGCAGAGACAGAGGGGGACAGAGGATCCAAAGTAGGTTCCATGCTGTCAGCAGAGAGCCTGATGCAAGCCCAATGCGGGGTTCAAATCCACAAACCCTGGGATCATGACCAAAGCCAAAGTCCAATGCTTAACCAGACTGAGCCATTCAGGCACCCCTAGAATCAAAGTATCTTGAGACTCAGAGTCAATAGCATAGCAGAGAGCAGAAGTAAGGGAATATATGTAGTTAGAACCCCCACACTCCTCCATGGTCAATGCTGGCAAAGATTAGTTTAGACAGAGAATTATTCTCTGGAGAGATGGAACATCCCCAGAGGGAGAAATACCTTATTTAGGCGTCTTCCAACAAATGACCGTGTCTCAAAGTTACCCAACAGTCAATCTACCAGTCACCAAGACCTTTCCACATATACAAAACTTCCAATTTGATTTTCAGTACTATTCTTTTTAAATATGTAGTCATAAATCACCAAATCTCTATAGAAAACCTCTAAGTAAAAGACACAAACCAGCAAACTGAATAAAAGAATATCCTAAGAAAGATAGTTATAAGAAGATATTGCAACTATGACAAATCAGTTTTTTTAAGTAACAACAAAAAGATTTACTGGAAATTAAAAATGATGTGGAAATGCAAGTGAGCTTTCTAATAAAAGAGTTAGATGATAAAGCTTAGGAAATCTCTCAGAGAATAAAACAAAAATACAGATGGAAAGTAAGAAGAAAAGACAAAATTATTAGAAAACCAACTCAGGGTGTTCAAGATTTCTTTAATAGGAGAGAAGAAAGAACAGAAAGAAAACATCACAGACATCAAACAAGAACTTTCTCTGTAAGTGAAGGATTACAAAAGGACCATCAAATACCTAGCATAATGAAGTGACACACTTTTACATATATCATTTTTAATTTTTAGAACACCGAGAATCCTAAAAGTTTACAGAAAAGGAGAAAATCACATACAAATTATTTCAATTCAGAATCATATCAGACTTCTCAGAAGACAATGGAGCACTATTTTTCATAACTGAAGGAAAAAAATTCAACCCTAGAATGCTCTGCCTACTCCAACCAACAGTCAAGGACAGAATAAATATATTAAAAGATATATTTTTTAATAGCTTTCATAAAAGCTACTGGAAAATGAGTTCCACCAAAATGATGGAGTAAATCAAGAAAGAGTAAATAATGTCTTGCCCTTCAAATTAAAGATTAAATATAGGGGAGAGCCAAAGGGAATTAGATGATAGTAAAGAGAAATGCCAGGACAACAGCTGTTCACTAGATCTTGGAAGCCGCTCACAGCCACTAGAGCAAGAGAACAGAGGTCTTCAGGAGAGAGGTATTTTCCACCTCTACTGGCCCAAATGAAATATGAGATGTGTTTTATTATTTTGGACATAGTTCAATCTTTCTGAGAGATATGATAGTACTGCATGAGGACAAAGAAATCAGGATTTAGAGGAGTTATTTCTCTGAGTCACAAAGTTCCTCATGGAGCTTAGAATCAAACCTGGGAAACCATAACCCAGGGAACGTGCTTTATTCACAATGCATTATATTAAAATTACAATGCAAAATTAAAAAAAAAAAGTTGTGTCCCAGGAGAAGATAATATTACTTTTTAAGAATAGTTGCATATTTTGAGGTACAATTACAGAGTACTTTTTGCATAATATTTTGGTTATGATAAAGTGCTTTGGAGGGATTTTGAGATGGAGAGGTGACATGGGTTAAGTGAATGGAGAATGGGATATCTGCCAGTACTAATAATTGGAGTGGCATTAGGGTGGATGCCAGTAAATTCTCAGGATCCTCTGTAAAATTTTTATGGTACTGGTAGGGTGTGTTGGAAGCAGATACAACTGACTTTCCATTGCTAGTGATTTAATGACTGAATTACAACCCCTAATCTGGATCATTGACATAACTTCAAGCTCCTACTGGGCAACAAATGTGTCAGACTGATTCAAGCACCACTTATGCAAAATCTATGGTCTGAAAAAAAAATTTTTTTGGCGATTAAATGGTATTAAATGAATCAAATTTTTTAAATGACAGTGTTTTCTCTCTTTAGCTTCAAATTTTTATCTTAAACATATTAACTGGAATTTTTCTAAAATGAATTCAGCATCTCTCTTCCTTCTTAAGTTGAGTAGAGAACCCATCTTGAACTTTGATTTTTATTCCAATTGGTATCTTTGTTCTTCTTATTGTGGAAGAAGTGTCAACTTGATCATGTTATAGGGTTTTTTTTTAAATATATTTCACTGTATTTACCATTGCTCAAATAAATAGACCCATGTCTCAAAACATGCTTAACTGTTTTTTTTTTAAATATATTTTATGTTAGGAAGAGCATATGGGATGATGAAACCTGACCTCTTTGTGTAGCCATGGAAGTAACCAACTGTGAATCTGGTAAACATCACTAATAGCAGATAAAGGAATGCTTAATTGAGTAACTGGTCTTTCCGGGCCTGCTGTCCATACACCAAATCTAAATGAATTGAGAAATAAAAGATGCTTTATAACCCTTTAGAAACCTCGGACATTCTACTCATAATAACACATTTACCATATTAAATCACTCAGTTTCCTTATGTCTTAGTTTCTTCATCTTCAATAGAAATGAGAGATTACAATAACTTTCTACAAGAATCATTGTAAGAATTAAATGTTTCTCATGTAATAGATTCTCACTAAGTATTCATTTCTCTTTTACTGCTCCAAGTGTTTTCCTCCCTACAAAAGTAGGCAATTGCAAATGTACCATCCACAGAATTGACTTAAGTGCATATGTCCTAGGTGCCTGGGTGGCTCAGTTAAGCATCCAGCTCTTGATTTCAGCTCAGTTCATGATCTCACAGTTGTGAGAGTGAGCCCTGCATCAGGCTCTGCACTGGGCATGGAGCCTGTTTAAGATTCATTCTCTCTCTCTCTGTCTCTCTCTCTGTCTCTCTCTCTTTCTCTTTCCTTCCCCCTTTCCCCCCACTGCTCCTCCCTCAGAGCACACATGCTTGCTCTCTCTCTCTCTCTCTCTCCCTCTAGTAAAAAAATTAATAAATAAAAAAAAATAAAAATTTCCCAGTTTTAATTTGGGGAGGTAGAGGAAGCAGCAGAATAGATTTTTTTTTAAAAGACATATGTTCTTCTTCCCTTATGTATAAGTTCCTTGCTTCAAAAAGAGAAATAGGGAACTTATCCCTTTGTAATTTAAAACATGAAGTATGGGGTTTTTTTTCATTGCTTACCTAAGCTCTTGGACTTTTACAAAGAAAATGAGAATATCTGCCATTTACTAATGTTGGGAATATAGAAAGGGAAAAGCTAGCCTATGCTAAACTCCTTGATCTTAGTCAACTTCTTGAATTTCTACTGCCTTTCTGTGGTCTGTCCACTTTCTCCAATTTTAGTATATGTACTGCCAAAGCGAGCACTGTCCACTTTCTCCATATGGGAACAGCTTACTCCACATCAGGAATATTGACCTCCTGAAGAACTATGGTACCATCAAAACAAACAATAACTTGGAGTGTGATAACCTTCCTATTTTTATTAACTCTGTATCAAAGATGCATGAATTTCAGATTTGAGAAAGAAAAGAAAATCTTCTATGAAAATGTTTCCTTTTTTATCACTTTAACCAAGTGCATTTAATTTTTCTATATATGAAACTTCACTTATGCCTTTCTTCATTTAACTCAGAAAATTATTTTTAAAATTGAGAATTGATATTTTAATAAATTTTTCCTGCTTATTTTATATCTCCTTTGATAGATGAAAATAAAACTTTTAGTATACTTCACTAGAAGTCCTGGTGATCTGAATCTTTTGCCTATCTACTCCCTAATTGCAGCCTTCCCTTCTCCAACCTCTATTTTACTTTGAAAAATTGAGAATATTATTAGAGTGAATGAGGCAGATTCTTAAATAAGATGTGTTATATTCCATGATGTTTAAATAATGATATATTGAAATATTCCAACATATATATTGTATGTATGTATGTGTGTATATATGTAGATAATGCCAAATAAAACGCACATGAAATATATGAATATATTTACATGTATAAATGTATGTATATATACAATAATGTAAAATACTGCTGCCATTCTAGTCATATATATGCTGATTATTATCTCCATTATAGTTTCACTCACATCTTTTCTAATTGGTTATCATTTTAGCCATATTGGATATATACATTAAGGAAAGCTTGTGTTTTTTATATAAATGTAGCAATTCAAATTCTAAGTGTTTGGCTTTTTAAAAAATTTTTCTATATAGAAATTGACATTGAACGCTGTGTGCGAGAATCAATCAACCTCTTTTGTTGGACTCCTAAAAGTGCTACTTACAGACAGCATGCTCAACCTCCAAAGCCAACTTCTGATAGCAGTGGAGTCAGAAGTTCAACACCTTTTTTCTCCACTGAGTGTCCAGATCCTCCGAAAACAGATTTGGTATGTATTTGGAAATTTAATTTACAAACTCTAAAGGAAGATGGATGTTAAAAATACAGTGTAGCATAATTATTGCTCATAATAATATTATCACTTATGTCCCTTTTACATACATATTCTCTTATGTATGATTGTACTTACGCAACTTTCAAAAAACCTTTGTGTGTATTTAGTTTTATAAGTAAGATTAACATATTCCTTCAGGTAGAAAGTTTCACATTTTTTCTGTATAATCACAGTGTCTCAACTTGTCATATACTAAAAGGATTACAGAAGCAAAAGGAAGAATTATAAAAATAGAGAAAGACAAAGTTCTTAATATATAAGAATAATAATATGTACTTATTAATTGCTGATTGACCAAAAAATATATACATACCATTTTGAAAAGCTATGCCAATCAGCTCTTTCAACATTATTATTCTTTCTAAATACTTGGCTTTATAAATATAGTTGACTAAGCTTTCAGCTATAATAATTCATATATTTCAAAAATTCCAATATTACAATATCTTAATTATTTCCATGAAATTAAATTTCAATGAATATGTATATAGGGTTTTTTAGATACCTTAATAAACTTAATAGGATAGGCTCTGACCTTTATTAAAGTAACATTTTAGTGATAAAACATTTTCAGTTTTCTTTCATATATGTTAAACAATAGATTTTGTCCCTAGATATTTTTAGAACTAGATATTTTTGCAAGAATTTGCGATTTTCACCTCTTTGCTCTTTCTGTGATTTTTCATGTTCCCAAAATATGAGGGAATCCATGTTTTCACATTATCCCATTGTGACATAATTGTATTTATTAAAGATACTTATAAACATGATTCTGATTGTGGTTGAATACAAAGTAGTTTAAGTAATTACAGTTTCTGCTGCCAGAAATATAGATAATAAAGAGGAAAACATTTATATGAATACATGTATGAAAAATTATGGTAAGATACTTCAAAATATCTTAAGAGATAAAACTAGAATAAGAACCTACACTAGTAATAAATATTTGCATTACAGTTTTCCAAAAGTAGACTGAGCCTCCCGAAGAGAAATAAATTCTTGAATACTGGAAGTGTTCCAGCAGATACATTTGCTTTAAGTTTATGTATTTTGAGAGAAAGAGAGAGAGAAAATGTGAGTGGGGGAAGGGCAGAGAGAGAGAGAGAGAGAGAGAGAGAGAGAGAGAGAGAGAGTCCCAAGCAGGCTTCATGCTGACAGCCAAGAGCCCCATGCAGGGCTCAAACCCACAAACCACAAGATGATGACTTGAGCTGAAAGCAAGAGTTGGATGTTTAACCAGCTGTGCCGCCCAGGCTCCCCCCAGCAGATGATGTTAGCGCCAACTAATGGATTTGGTACAAGAGCTCACTTATCACTAAGGGTGGTTCTACATGACCTGTAAGATTGCTTGAACTCTTAAATTTAGTGATTCTATATAAAAACTTGTACTTTTCTTCTTTTCAAATTATAAAACATATCCTCTTCATATAAGAAAAACATTAATTCACATCTCCATACTAGAAAGATATCCTTTGGCAGATGAGCAGTTTTTAGGTAACTATAATGGCATTTAATGAAGGGGAAGGTGAGGAAGTATAGAAATTAATAAGATAACACTGAGCTGGGAATTGTAAAAATTAAGTAAAAATAAAGGTATAAGGGAATTATAATATCTGAATACGTGGTGTCACCTTAAAAATATACCAGAATTTTTAAATGTAGACACGTCATTTACTCCTCATAGGAACCTATAACAAAGTATGATTATCCCTATTTCATAATAAGAGCATGAAACTAAACCCAGAAAGGGATTAATAGTTTATATAGCTAGTAAATACTAACACCAAAATTGAGCCCCCCGTCATGAAGACAACATAGGCTGTGTGTTTTTTTTTAATTGATTGAACTATAATTTGCACACCATAAATTTCACCCTTTTTAAGTGTAAAATTCAGTGGTTTTTAGAATATTTACAAAGTTGTGCAACTGTCACCAGTGTATAATTCCAGAATAGTTTCATCACCCCCAAAATAAAACTCTGTATCCATTATGAGTCACTCTCATACTGACATGTGCCATCTTGCAAGTGCAGGTAGCATACTTTATAGGGGAACAGTAAGGAGACTATGTATAGAATGTAATGAGTGAAGATGGGAGTGGAAAGTGATAAACTTAGAGACATATCAGTGGGTAAGATCTTGTACAATTCCAAAAACTGATTTTATGCCAAATGAGAGGCAAAGCTGTTCTAAGATTTTGAGCAGATTTGTGACATTATCTGACTTATGTGTGAAAGGATTATTTGGGCTACTGTGTGGAAAAGAGACAATAGAAGGACAAAGGCAAAATGGAGACCCAGGAGAAAGTATGGTGATTTGTATCCAAAGGTCTAGCGGTGGAGGGGATGAGAAGTAATCAGACATATTTTGAACACAAATCCAAGAGATTGTGCTGATTGATTATGAGACATAGATAGAGGAATCAAGGATAAATCCAGAATTTGGGGCCTAGACTAGAAGAATAGTGTTTTGATGTTTTCATTTACTGATTAAGGAAGACTGTAGGAGAAGCAGGTTGAAAGGTAGAAATTAATTTTAATATATGGATTTAGAGATTGTTAGTTGATCATAATGAATACATTATATTGTTTTATACATAATATCTTTTATGCTATTATGTTTTGTGGTTATTACCAGTATAATAGAAAGATTATTATTTATTTTAGATTCATTGTATAGTTAGCAAACTTGTTTGATTTATGTTTTTAATAGAATTTATTTTTTAGACAGTTTTAGGTTTATAGCCAAATTGAGCAGTAAGTTCAGAGATTTCTCACGTGCTCCCTGCTCCCACACATGCATAGTCTCCCCATTATCAACATCCCCCACAGAGAGGTACATTTGTTACAACTGATAAACCTACCTTGACAATTATTATCACTCAAAGTCCATAGTTTATATTAGGGTTCATTCTTCGCCTTGTACACTCTATGGGTTTAAACAAAAGTATGATGGCGTGTATGCATCATTATGGTGTACAGAATAGTTCCACTGCCCTAAAAAATACACTGTGTTCCACCTATTCCTCCTGCCCTCTCTCTCAAACACTAGGAACACACATCTTTTTACTGTTTCCATAGTTTTTCCTTCTCCAGAATGTCATAGGGTTAGAATCATACGGTATGTAGTCTTTTCAGGTTGATTTCTTTCAGTCGGTAATATGCATTTAAGTTTCCTCTGTGTCTTTTCATTTCTTGATAGCTCATTTTTTTAGTGCTGAATAATGGTTCATTTTCTGGAGTATCAGTTTTTTAACCATTCACCTCCTGAATAACATCTTAGTTCTTCTAAGTTTTAGCAAGTATACACAAAGCTTCATGAACATCCATGAGCAATTTTTGTGTGGACAAAATTTTCAACTCCTTTGAGTAAATAAATATTTTGGAATTGATTCTTTTTTTTAAATCTAATAGATTGTGGATTCTCTTGGATGCTTATGAAGCTGATGTAATCATACTTTCTAGTTACTACTTTTATTAATACATCTTTGATTTTTTTTGTTTTATTGCATTGAGCAAGACCTATAGTATGAAGTAAGTTAGAAGTTAGAAGAGTGGGTAGATTTTTTAATACTTGAATTTAATAAAAATTCTTCTAATTTCACCATTAAGTTTGATGTTTTTGATAACTACTGTATTTGGGTGATGAATTTCCCCTCTTTTTCTATATGGAAAAGTTTCCCTTTCTTTTTCTCACAGTAGAGTAATTACCATGAATGAGTGTTGAATTTGATCAGATGTTTATTCTACTGGTGAGGATTGACTAGGATCATCTATTTTCCTCCTTTAAGGTAATAATGTATAACATTATTAAAATTTATGATAATTGCATTCCTGAGGTAGACTCTAGCAGGTCACTACAAAAAAAAGAAATACTGACTATTTTGATTTGCTAATATTGAATTTTAAGTGAGATAAGTTTATAATTTTCAGTCTATCCTTGTTAGTCTTTAATATTAAGATTATATTTCTCCCTCCTTCTTTCTACTGTCCAATCAGTTTGTATGAAAGGGATTTTATTTCTTATAGATGCAGTAAAACTTGTCTATAAAACCATCTGAGCCCGTTGTCTTTTAATTAGGGAGTATTTGATTGTTCATTCTTCTTAAGTCAATTTTTATATGAGTTTATGGGTTTCTTAAAATTGCCCATCTAAAATACCATACTTATTTTATCAGAATCCTTTTTTAAAGTATCTATTTTGTCTGATTTTTATATTTATATAATTCTTTTTTCAAAATATTTTAATTTTTTTTACATTTTATCTGAAATTTTGTCCCCTTTTTCCATCCTATTGTTTATTTGAAGCCCTCTTGGTTCAGATTTAAATGTTTAATACAATAGAAAGTAGATGCAAAAAAATAATGTATGCATGCACTATAAAAACATATTCACTAAATTTAGGATAATCACAATTCAGATTTATATACTATATATCAATGTCAGAATCTAAACAGATAAAAAATGGCTTTTTTAAAAAGAATAGAATTTATTGTCAAATTGGCTTACATAGAACACCCAGTGCTCATCCCAACAGGGCCTTTTAAAATCAAAATACAAACTGCCCTCTGACTAGTAGAATGGAAACTTGAAAATAACTATAGGAAGAAAACTCTAGTTAACATTAACTTATACATGCATCTATCATATTTATTTCCTGAAGTAGACCCCTAGAAAAAGCATGAGCTTTGCTGTTAAATGGACTTGGTTTTAAATTTCACCCTGCTCCTTTGGTTTTATAATCTTTTAATTTTTATAATTGCTCTAATCTCCTATTTATAAAAGTGAGCATAATTACAATAATTCCTACCTTGCAGAATTGTTTTAAGAATGGTATGTGCAGAGTACCTAGTTCAGTCTCTAATATATAATAAGCACTCAACACTTTAACAATTAATATTGCATGTTTTAATACTTAAGGATTAAATGTTTAAAC